TACAACAGTTCATGTTAACACATGTTTATATTGGAGTTGAAAATGAATGAATCACTTACAAACAGTAACAATAAGTACATACTGCATTGAAGTGCATTCTGTTGAAGCAAACAACACTGACCATGAAAACCATGTTATACCATTACCTTTATCATTATGTTCGCAAACCTTTGTTGCAATACAGTTACTTCAATGAAACATTCCACATTAAGGCTCTATATCATTTATCTGTACACCATTGGCATATAGCCATACACAATGGGGACAGGGAGCCTGAAAGTATGGTGTAACAGCAACTAAGAAGATGATGTTGCACACAGAGAGCTATTATGAATTTATGATGTACGCACTTGGACAGAAACCTTCCAGTCAATATATCACAATATGTATTGCAATATCTCTTGAATTATTGCAATATATCGCAATATGAGAATCAGGGCAATACCCACCACCCCTTTTGATAAGGGACAGTTGTGTTCCCATTTTGAACTGTTTACTTTATGCCCGGGGAAGCTTCAGTGCTTAGTACTATTTTCATTTATCTAAACATTTACAGATTTCTGGTGACCAATTGGTTAGAGTAGGGTTCAACACAGATTACGTTGCACACAAAAACTGAAAAATGTAGGACAGTTTAGCAGTGACATCTCACTCTACGTACTACACTGTTTAAAAGTTTAAAGGTGAGCTCCCTGACATTTTGCCATGTGTCTTCCCACCTAGCCTGTCATGCCATGCTGTTACATAGCGCACTTAGGATTATTTGCTCGCTTGGAGTTCGAAATAGACTGAATTCAGTATATTCCTTTAGTTAGCCTGACATTTTGTCAAAGGTGTTGGGTTTGATGCAGATGATTTTACAAATAGGCAGTTTCACTGCCTGTGCATGGGAACTTGATTCACGATGTAGCCGTTTCCTCTGAATATTGAAGATGTAGGTTTAATAAGTCTCCCTAAAATGACTTAAATGTACAAATAGGTATTCAGCATTCAGAGTTGTTCATTCACAATCAAAAGCCCTTGTCCTGAAGTGTTTGAAATTTGAGAAGATGCTGAAGGTTACTGTATGAGGAATTCAGGGAGGTCTCTCCTAGTATTTGAATCTAGGGACCTCTTATCAGTAATAGAAATTGGCTCTACTCCCACAGTTCATACTGACCAGGAATAAAGGTATCCCTAGTAGAAATACGCCAGTTTTAGTTTTCTACATGGATGTAATGTTAGTTTCTATTGCTGTCATTGGAGTTATGGCAGGAACCACTTGACTTCAAGCTTAATTTCCATCACTGTAGAGTTCGTATTTGTGCAGCTTACAAATTTGAGATATCAGTGTTTTGTACCATTTTCTTGTATGTGCATTTCATATTTGATAAATGTTTATTTCACTAATCACTGTGGCGGTGGGGTAGCCTAGTGGTTAGAGCGTTCACTCGTCACACCGAACACCCGGGTTCGATTCAACACATGGGTACAATGTGTGAAGCCCATTTCTTGCTGTGATATTGCTGGAATATTGCTAAAAATATCTTTAAAACTAAACTCACTCACTCACTAATCACCTGTTGTGTTGAGTTAGGGCTGAAAGTGAATAATTTCACTTATTCTTTTAGATTTGGACCCGCATTTATGCTTGCATGGCACTGGAGAGACTTGAGTGTAAATCTGACAAGGGAATGTTGTGTTCTCAACTGTTGTACATTTGTTATATTGCTGATATCTTCAAATGTCCTAGCTGACAAACTCTCTCTCCAATTTGAATTTATTATTTCCTTCTGTTAAATTTTTATCTCCAGGAACCTATAATTAGCATAAGTGTGACTTTAAACTGTTGCCTTAGCAGCTTGTCTGTAGACCGAGTCTAGTAAAATTCTGTTAGGTCTAGTAAAAATAGTGAACTCTAGTCTGTATGATAGCACTAAGATGTACACAAACTGATAAAAGTGGGAAGTTTGGGATAGTGAGTGAGTGAGTTCAGTTTTACGCCGCTTTTAGCAATATTCCAGCAATATCATGGCAGGGGACACCAGAAATGGGCTTCACACATTGTACCCATGTGGGGAATCGAACCTGGGTCTTCGCATGACGAGCGAACGCTTGAACCACTAGGCAACCCCACCGCCCCCTTGGGATAGTAGACTTGGTACAGATTGTGAAACAAATCCAGTAGTCAGGCTCTGTGACTTGCCTGATAACCAGTAATCATGCAATGGAAGCAGCCATTGTTGCTCATTTCGTCAGTCATTAATTTGCATGATGATTTACAGACCGAAACCCGTGAAGATCCGGGTAAGAATTGATCTTCAGTAAACCATGCTTGTCGTAAGAGGCGACTAACGGGATCGGGTGGTCAGGCTCGCTAACTTTGTTGACACATGTCATCGGTTCCCAATTGCGTAGATCGATGCTTATGATGTTGATCACTGGATTGTCTGGTCCAGACTCGATTATTTACAGACTGCTGCCATATAGCTGGAATATTGCTGAGTGCGGCGTAAAACTAAACTCACTCACTCACTCTCTACAGACTGATATGTTCATATCTGGACCAATACTCATTTTCATAATTCACAATTTCATTCACCATATGTTAAAAGGAGGAATCTTTTGTATTGCAGTGCAACTTTAAATTAACAATTCAGGACGTGACATTACCTTTGTGGACTGCCACTTTTATCATCAATAGATGGCAACTCTGTAGCACGTCATTTCTGCGGACTGATAAAAATAAAATTAATTTCGCAGCGTGGTTTTGTTTGAAAGCACCTGCACTAAACCAGCATGTTGCCATGCATGGGTCTCTAATAATGGCAGTGCTATTATGAGCTGCCATTTCTGCAAGAACTCGTCAATGAGGGCAATCTACTAATCTCATACTGATATTAAGAAGTAGCTCACTTAAGAATCACCACAATCTATAACCCTGGCAGTTGGAAACTGTACGAATACCATTATTATTATGTGTTTGTCAATCCAATCTCTGTCACAGGCACTGTAGGGGTCTGTCTTAATCCCAAAATCAAACATTTGAAATGGTCGATTTAAGCCCTGTCATTCACAGGGAGACTTTCAGCTTTAATATCATGCAATAAAACATAATTGAAAGGATTTATTTTGCATTAAAAACGGACAGTAGGTACATTTAAATCAACTTGTTTGCCAAAATGTTAAAAATAACACTTTTATGGATGTGGCAAATTTGCCATTGTTCATACTTCCTGGCTGAAGGGTTGGATATTTGAAAGGGTGTCTTGACACCGAATGCTGAAGTCTTGATCAACATATTCTACATCTTTGGCCAATGAGTTTGCAACTTGGCCTACTGTTGTTTGTTAATTGATGGCAAAGGCTTCAATAACAGATTGGCAAAAAACACCCAATCTCCGGAGAGCATTGCATTCTGTAACAGGCGATATGAAATATTTATGATATTACGGATCCAGAATTGGCAAGGTTTTGCCATAATTCAGCATACCAACGAATATCACATCATTATAAAGATCAGAGCCAGATTGTGATGGAGGGAGTGGTGATATGTCAATCCTACAGACCCTTGTTAGCACAACAGAGTGAGTGAGTGAGTTGGGTTTGATGCTGGTTTTTTAGCAATATTCCACTATATATCCACTAAGAACGCCAGGATAGAAAAATGGAAATTGCACTATAAATATACAAAGTAACTATTTGGCTACGGATATGATGTGGACTTGTTGTATGGTGGAAGTTGCTGCTGTTTGATCTCACATAAATAAACTTTCCAGAACCTGGAAAACAGTGGTTGATAGCAAGAGCAACAGTCATGCACCTGATGATGGAGTAAGACTGCTCTAAAATGTCATATTCCACATATTACGAAAGTTGACATCCAGAAGTTCCATAGTCATGTCAAGATCTGCTGTTTTGGGGTATATTTCCGATATCATTTAAATGTGATTGATCTTCAGTAACCGATGCTTGTCGTAAGAGGCGACTCAGGATCAGGTGGTCAGTCTCGCTGACTTGGTTAACACGTATCATTGTATCCCAGTTGCGTAGATCGATGCTCATGATGTTGATCATGGGATTGTCTGGTCCAAACGTAATTATTTACAAACAGCTGCCATATAGCAGTAATATTGCTGAGTGCAATGTTAAACATCCAAACCAAAACCAAACCAAACCAAATTCTTGGTATTGTTTAAACACAGTCCAAAATGAGATTGGATTGAACTGAGGCCATGCCTAGCCTCTATACAGTGCTTTGGAAGCTCCCTTGAATTGGGTCCCTTGCTTCTTATTTGAAGTATGAATTAACATCTCTTTAAAAGTGTCAGGCAAGGATTTATTTAGACCTGACTTGAGACAGATATGCAAGTCTGCAATAATTGTCTGTAAAAATTCACGACTTTGAATTAGACATTTTCCCATTCATGGCGCTATATTTAATCTTAATGTGATGGGTTTGTAAAGTGACTTCTATTTCAAGACAAAAATAGCTGAAGAGTCTTTAACACTGGATTGAATGCAGCATTAAAATTCAAAGTTAAATGCCTCAGAATTTAGCTAAATATTAATTTAAACAAAAAAGCCATTTTTGAAGAAAATATCATTTTTTTCCAAATATGCCTGCAAACAGTACATGGTTTGTAATTCTTGATAAGTCCTGGATACTGAGATGCAAAGTGCAAATTAAATAGGGAATATTCATTTTTTACATTAGGGTTAAGGAAAAGGACCCTGGATGTGGATGTTAAATTTTAAACAGTACTGCCAGATGTGTAAGAATGTAAGAACGCTGCTTCTTGGGGATGCTGCTAGTTTATGGGCTTCATATACACTGTATAGTTTGTCAGCCACCAGAAAGCCTCATCACTTCTGAATGAGGTTAGAAAAAATCTGCCTTTTTCATATCGATGACTTTGTTTTGTTACATCGCCTGAAATCATGTCCCTAAGGAAATGTGCAAAAAGTGCTACTTGGAATATTGGTCATGTTCGGTTGTAGCGCCAGCAGGATCTGCCAGAAGACCGGTGCACTGGTTAAACAGTACAGAACATTGGAGAGTTTGAGGGGAAGATGATTCAGATTATTGATGTGTTGATAGGAATATAGATGATATTATACTACCTGTATTATACTAAGGTTATTTATTCCTAGTGTGAGATATATGATAGAGGACGCTCTAAGATAATATTGTAATTTCATTCTTAAAATGTGAGATTTATGATAGAGGACACTCTAGGATAATATTCTCATTTCATTCTTAGAATAATCCAAACTAAAGAATTATTTCACTTGGTTTAAATAATGTTATGAACTGTGTATAAAAATTATGCCCATGGGAGTTTTGTATTATATAGTGCCAAATGGATGTAGTCTCCTCACTTGTGATTACATGCCTTCCATTACACCATGCCCTGTTCTCATTCAGTGTTCGTCTGTACTCAAAACCCCTCTTTTATTCCACTGTTACTTCTCACTAATTAGTAATCAATGATCTTCCATTTCTCCAGGTCCGATTGATTTTACATGCCAGGGGTGGAAATAACTTTAAAGTTGCTAGTGTACTCTCGGTACAGTGGCATATGTAAAATCACTTGCCCTGATCATTTTTCCACTATACCGGCCGTTTTCTTGTTGATTTTTTAAATAAATAAATAAACAACATTATTAACATTGGAAAGTCAACTGGACACCGGTACAGCGTGATATACAAATTTGCTTGCCCGACAGAAAAAACACACTGGACTCGGACGTCGGGCAATGGGTTATTTCCACCCCTGCATGCCCTTCTGTTATTCAACACCCTTCTATTATTCCATGACCTTCTGTTATTCCATTCATCGTTCTGTTAATACATACTCCTCCATTACTCAACACATCTGATTTATCTCATTCTTCTCCATTATTCCACACCTTTCTGTTATTCCACTCACCATCCATACCCCTTCATTACTCAACACACCTCTGTTATCTCATTCTTCTCTGTTATCCCACACCCTTCTGTTATTCCCCATCCCCATTCTGTTATTCCATACACATCCATTACTCAACACGCCTCTGTTATCTCATTCCTCCCCTTTACTCCACACCCTTCTGTTATTCCCCATCCCCATTCTGTTATTCCATACCCATCCATTACTCAACAACTTCTCTCATCCCTCCCCTTTACTCCACACCCTTCTGTTATTCCATGCCTCTCCATCACCTAACTCCCGTTATTCCATGTCCTCTGTTATTCCGTTCCTACTCCTATAACAGAGCACCTTGTAATCCTGTTACTCCTGCATGCATCATTTATACCCTGGCCCCATGGGTACACTTCTATAGGTATGCTCAGCAATTATTCAGAAGTTGACGTGTTCTAGCAATATTGATCCAGATATGGATAAACATCCCCCATTGTGTAGGACAGTTCCCCCTACTGCACACATACACTCACACCTATCTTAGAGTTAATCTTAGATTGCCATCACACCTCACATAGATCCGATACATGGCTGTTGCTGTTGAATGTGTGATGTAAATAGAATTTACTGTGACGTAGTGATTCAGATCATTAGTCCTCCAGAATAGGCAAGGAAGTACAAAGGTTCTGGCTATGCCAATGTTTGAAGTAGTGACAGGTTGTAATTGTATAATTAACTATGAGAAATAATCAGATGCTCTTGACTTTTAATTATGGTTCGTTACCTATGAAGTGTTTTCTATGAATTTGTCGTACATTTTACAGGGCAGTTGGGTAGCCCTGTGTGTTAGCTTATCATGCTGAAGGTGGTGTACTTTGGTGAGCACAACATCACTTTCATGAAGATCATAAGATCATAAAGAATAACAGGTTTTGGGCGTAGTTTTGTTGTGTCAATGAATGGTTTGTCTGGTCAGGTTTTCAGACTGTTGTCATAGACTAACACTTAGTCTCTGATATATATAATTTTGATAATAACAAACAAACCCATTTAAATTGAAAAGGAGCCCCAGTGAGTTGGGAGAACCTGGGGAAATCTAGACTTGCTTCATTTAAGGCTTTGGCATTGCAGGGAGGGCTAGGCAATAGGGACAATAATGAGGTTCAGGGACTGTGAGACAGACTAACTGTTGCCATATTGTTGAATAATTGCTGAGTGTGGCATTAGACACACAAGGAGTATAGAAAACTATTCTGATTCTCTTCATTTCAATGTGAATATGTCTTATAAGATACTGCATACTACGGTTATAACAAACTCAAGGGAATCATTAATTTTTGGGGGTTATAACCCCAGTTTGTTATACGCATTTCAACTAATATATGCTGCAAGTGGTCGGCACCGAAAAGAACTTGTAATTTGTAGTTTGCTGTAAGCATGTTCGACCCATGAAGATCCGGGTTAGAATTGGTCTTCAGTAACCCATGTTTGTCGTAAGAGGCGACAAACAGGATCGAATGGTCAGGCTCGCTGACTTGGTTGACACGTCATCGTATCCCAAATCGTTGATCGATGCTCATGATGTTGATCACTGGACTGTCTGGTGCAGACTCGATTGTTTACAGATTGACACCATATAGCTGGAATATTGCAGAGTGACGTTAAACAACAAACCAACCAACCAATGTCAGCATTTTCATTATAAATGTAGCATTACTGTAACTTAATTTTGTAATATTTCAAAGGAATGTAACAGCAGATCGTAGTATTGAAATGACACATCATGGTAATAAAATAGTTCATGACAATTACCAAGTGCAGCATTAATCTAACAGATACACATATTTAAATGTAAATTCAATTCTTTATTCTCATAAACCACCTTGGTGGTACAAGAGCATATATTGTAAACATACTGTATATACAAATACAAATTCAAATTCAAGATGGAAGTAAACAACATATTAACATTTTTTTCTGACAAGAGATGATAGATGTAGGATATATTTTGATAAATTTACTATGTCTCGAGATGTTTTTACAGATAATATTTTCGTGAACTTTGTTTCATTGGGAAAAGGGGTTAGATGGGAGGGTAAATATTGTTTCCTCAAAGTATCTAATGCTTTGCAATGAAAAATATAGTGGTATTCATCTGCGATGCTTTTAGAAGTGCATAGTTGACACATTCTCTCGTCCCTTTGGAATATTATACCAGCGTCTCAATAGGTAAACTATGGTTACATGTTCTAAATCTCAATAATGGTAAAGAAATGCGTTTTGGAAGGAGGAGATATACATCGTGTTATGGGAGATCAGTTGTATAGGACCTCTTCCATGGTGTAGGGGATTATGAGCCTGCCCCATGGAGACTATAATCATCATCAGGCTGGTTCTAGTTGTCTCTCATATCAAAATAAATAATTATTTACAGATCATCGTCATACTAGCACTAATATTGCTGAGCAACGTTAAACAACAAACAAATCAATATGCCGTAATGTATATTGTATATATGACTCATGTATGTAATATTAACCTTATCTACGTGTAATATGACCAATATTTCCATCAATCATCAATTCCACATTGATATTGCATGGCGCAGTTAATCAAAACTTGCTGACAGGCAATATTTTCGCTGATGCAACAAATCCTTATAGACAATCTAGTTTGAGAACATCACTGGGTCAAGATTAAACGTGTGTCAATGGGGCGATGCAACCTTTGTATTTGGTAATAAAAGGGCTAAGACTGTCCGTCAATGATACTTATGAGGTATTTAGATGGATGGTCTGATCATTGTTTTTTTCTGATATCAGATTTTTTCTAATATCAGAGCTTATTATTGTCTCTTCCAGAAAGTTGATTTAATTTTCGCTGTAAACAGTCCGAAACACAGATTAATAAAAGCTTACCAATGTGAAATCAAAGGGACTTTTCCCTATTAGTTTCTCTAAATTTGTCTGAGTGGCATGATGAGGAATCACATGCTGTAGTTTGAATCGCTGGACTGACCTTTAAGAAAGATAAAATTAGCTGACTTACATTGGTTAGAAGTGTTTTGTGGGTAAAGATCTAGTTTTCATTTTTGTTACAACTGCAAACTTTTCCTGGCTTTTTCCAGCTCTTTTCCATTACGATTCAGCACAAATTAACTATTGGCTCCCCTTGTTAAGTGCCCACCATTGTCGTCTAATCACTGTTGTTGTTTCACATGTACTCGCTACCTGCTTCCTAGTTTTCTTCACCTGATGTAGGAGTAAAAATACTCACCCAAAAATCATTCCTTCATATATGAGAAGTTGACACCCGTTATTCTCGTCTGATCACCATCCAAGCTTTTGAAACTCACTCCTTTATCCGACACCAGGTCTCCTACTAAAACTCATTCACTTGCTTGTCCAGACACAAGCCCACCCACTGAAACTTTTTCTATCAGTGCCCCTGCAGAGATGCCAACCACTCCGATTTTGGAGGAGTTACACCGATTGTCAAATACAAAATCCACTCTCCTATTTGTCTATCAAAAACTCTGATTTTTTAGAAAATACAAATATGATTATAAAGTAAGAATGTTTGAAAGAATTTTAGTAAATATGTTCTTTTGAGTTAAGAATTATCTGGTTAAGTATGCCCAGAAATTGCATATTATCAGGCTAAATCTAAAGAATTTCATAGGGGAGGCCCCCCCCAGACCCCCATCGTCAAAGATGCCTGAGCCCTCAGTCACACTCACCCCCAACTTGCACCTTCAGGGCTCGGGAATTGCTTTTAGCAAGGCATGACTCCTCTTTCCTTTGATTCAGGGTTGGCATCTCTGCCCCTGGTGTCGATAGAGTGCCCTGAACAGCAGGGCCCGGGTTAGAATTGGTCTTCAGCAACCCAAGCTTGTCATGTGAAGCAACTAACACGATTGGGTGGTCAGGCTCGCTGACTTGGTTGACACATGTCATTGTATCCAAATTGCATAGATCGATGCTCATGCTGTTGGTCACTGGATTATCTGGTCTAGAATCAGTTATTTACAGGCTACCGCCATATAGCTGGAATATTGCCAAGTGCGGTTTTAAACAACAAACCTACCAACCTAACCAGCAGACACATACACCTGCACATATACATC